TAGGAGTGTAGTCTTTATCGAATGTGGTTGCCATACCACCAGGTGCCTAATCCTGCATTCGTCGTACATGACAGGATTACTGCCCGTTGGACCACGTTCAAGTCGTTAATCGTCGAAATTCCTTGGCGTGATGACCACTCGCCAATGTGGCCTACTAGCTGTCTGCGTCCCTCCCGTTTGGATAATTATTGTGCCTAGACAAAGTCTCATCTCCATTACATAAATAAAGCACTATTAGCGCGGCGGAAGCAACTTCCTGCCTGTAAATTGGCAGCCAATAAATAAAAAACTGTTAATGCTTTAGGCTTCTGTAACATTGAAGTAGCCCCGACCAAGAATGGATTTCTAAAGAACCGCACCAGATAAAACACCATGCGATCAACAAATATCCATCGCTGAAAACTAAAAAGCACATCAACAGCAAGAGCAGACTATGTAATTCCGTTACTCCGTGTTAATACCAGTTATGTTTATCATGTTTCATGAAAGACAACAACTTTTCATGCGTTATAGCGACATAGCATCCTTCGCCCATGTATCCGATGATGGACCCGCGGCGGATTTCGAAACGTCAGGCAAATGAAATTCTTGTCTCAGCGATCACAACTGTCTTTCCTCGTACTACTCTTTGTTCATTGGTTCACGACTGACGTCAAGAATTATGTCACATGAAACACTAGTCCTAGTGATATCCTAGGTAACATACAAAATTCGTGGCCTTCAGTGTAGTAAAAGGAAATGGGTCTTCATAAGAGAGCATTTAGATACCCAGATGCTTAATCTGCGAAAATAATATTTCAATGGAAACTCTTACTGCCTTCGTCGACGCTGCAGGAGCAGAATTCAAATCCCTTATCAGGAAAATCCTCTGTCGATGCTTGCTTTCCTTTCTTGAGACATCTGTGAATAGAACGTTGTGAATTCACATGTGCTCGCGCAGTTGCTCGTCAATTTTGCCATTATTCTCTATTTAAGAAAATTGAACACCCTTTTTTAATGACTTCAGCAGACGGTCTTCCTCGGATCGTGGCTTAATGGATGATTTTCCGCTTTCTTCACACTTCTGTCTCGAGTACTAAACTGTCGTCTCAGCTGGTGGTGCACGATTTAAATTATTGACTGTCTTGGGCACATCTCTTGTGCGTAGCTAACACCCTATGGGTAATCAAGAATTCCATTTCACCAGTTGCTTTCGTCAAAAGGTAATAATAAAACCTTATTTGTCTAAGAATAAAAAGCACAATAGCGAACATCAATCAGTGAATTAACTTCAT